ACTCATGCCGGGCGTATGTGCGTGCGTGCCCAAGATCCTGAGAGGAGAATGGAGGAGAAGGGATTGCGGTGTGGCCATCCTCCCTAGGGGGGTGATTTCTCACTTTTTATCTCTTCTGTCTCTCTCTGTCTTTCTGGCAAGGACATGCACCCTATAACAAAAACCTCTCCCAAAAAAATCATGTTGGGGTGTGTATATGTGTGTGTGTGTGTGTGTGTGTGTGTGTGTGTCCAAACTCCCAAGAGAATGAAAAAGGGATTACAGTGTGGTCATCCCTCCTGGGGTTGGGAGGTGGTGGTGGTGGTGATTTCTCATTTTCTGTCTCTCTGTCCCTCTGACATTGTGCCCTACAGCAAAAATCTCTCTCAAAAAAAAAAAATAAATAAATAAAACAAAAATAAAAACAAAACTTAAAATAATAAAATAAAAAGCACTGAGAGGGGAAAAAAAGTAAAAAAGTGGGCTTATTCATTCTCTGGTCTTTTTAAACATTTAAATAACTATGGCAAAGCCCCAATGTTTCAGGAAGTCAAAGGAAAGGGGACTGTTAAGAACAAAAAAGACAAATTCAAAGACAAGAGGCATCAATCTGTTAAATCAAGGTCCAAAAGTGGATTTTAAATCTTAATGCTGTGTACTATAAGATCAAAGTTCATTTCTTTAATAGCGAGCAGGCAATGTGCACTCACCAGAGACCACAGAAAGAGATCCCCCATGATGGGGCATAGTCACGCCATGATCCTTTTTCTTCATTCCTCCTGGTCAGGATTTTGGGCATATATGCACATACACCTGGTGTTTTTCAAGCCACTAGGCCCAGGATTCAAAACTCAGTTCACCAATAGTGGGAACTGGCTCCTTTACCTCCTAAACTACAGAGATAGCCTTTTTCTAAGAATCACATCAAAGCATGTAGATTCTTAAGGTATAAGGGACAGCTGCCCACGTTACTGAGAATAACCCACACCCCTCATCCACACAATAGCAGAGGAAGGCCCAGACAGCTTCTTTTTCTTTTGTTTTTCTTTCTTGTCTTTTGCTTTTTTGTACAATATGACACTGACCATGCTCCACAACCTCTACCATCACCACAGCAAAGACTAAACCAGGGTTGGGGATTTGACCAGGACAAACCTCTTCTGCTTCTGGCCACAGGTTCCAAAGACTAATATCTGATCCAAACTTGGAAGGGAGTCCTTTCCCAAAATTCAGAATTGAGACAGATTCCACTTCAGCCTACCTAGTCTCTTGAACACAAAATCTAAAATCAGGGAGACATAGAGAGGCCATAGGTGATCATTTTGCATGTTCTAGAAAAATAAGCAAGTAGCAAAAAGATAAAGAACCAAATGGACTCCAGGGAAAAGCAGGAAACAGGGTAGACCAAGCCTCTCAAGAAGGGATTCTGGGTTCCTTACCCTGGCTAAAGCACCCTGGCATTCAGGTTTCAGGACTCCATCTATCTTCCCAAGAACATCTGTACTTGTCCCTAAAAAAATCCTAGCTAGGGCCAGTGGGTAGTATGGTAGGTGGGACACAGGATTCCCACATGGCCAAGTGTGGTTTGTGTCCTGACCTAGCAGCTTGAAAATCACAACAAATAAATACATAAATAAATAGTCTGTTAAATTTTTTTCTTTTAAAAATAGGACCAACAGATGGCATTAGTGGTTACATTGATGGACTCCCCCACATAGACAAACACGATTTGAGTCTCAAACCTGGCAGCTTAAATCTCACAGCAGTCGGGGCCAGTAGCTGGCATGGTCGTTAAGGGTGCTGGACTCCCACATGGCTGACCGTGGTTCGAATCCCAGACCTGGTGGCTTGCTTGCTCTCTCTCTCATTCTCACTCTGTCCCTCTTTGGTCAAAATAAAATAAAATAAATAAATAATAAAGTTAAATAAAATAATTATTAAAAAAAAAGGTAAAACTCACACTGGGTGCATGTGCGTGCGTATCCAAAATCCCAAGAGGAGAATGGAGGAGAAGGGACTATGGCATGACCATCCCCAACGGGGGTGGGGAAGTGAGGGGGGTGATTTCTCACTTTCTATCTCTCTGTCCCTGTCTCTGCAGCGAGTGCATGTACCCTATAACAAAAATCTCCCTCAAATAATTTGTTTTTACAAAGAATTAACAGCCAGAGGAGGGCCAGAGGCCAACAGGTCTAACCACTGATGGTCGCCTCAAGCAGGTAGGGAGGTCTTACTCCACAGGCACATCCCAGAGAGGGAGACAACATAACAAATGTTGAAAGAATACAGAACAAGAAATAGAGAGGCCTCCATTTCTTTAGGCCATAAAGAAAAGTTATTCAAAGAAAAGATATAGGTCTACAGGAAGATGAAACTGCTACTCCAAAGGTATGTGTTCCTGCTGTTCAACTCACCACCACAGGCAAGGCCCTTTCCCTTGTGAGTCCTAGCTGCCTGAAGACAAGCATGAGACATACGACTCAATGATTCCTCATGTCCTCTTACTCTACTAATTGGCAGCCTGGAATTCTGAGGACACTGAACCAAAAAGCACACTCAGCCTGTTGCTATTATTACTAAGTATCTGGGGCTTTTGATGTGAAACTTGCCACAGTTGCTGGCCTCAAAATTCTGCCCAGGAACCAGTCTGTTGTCTTCTAAACCTGTTTCCTATAAGCTCTACTTACCTGAATCATGAAGTCATTTTCCTCTTGGACCTCACAGATACAACGGACCACTTCAAAATCATAGCGTTCATCCCCGTCAAGTTCCTCGTCTGGGTTGGTGGTCACATCGACATCTTGACTATATTCCTCGTCACTCCAGAGAAAGCTCTCAGAAGAGGACTCACTCAAATTATCCTCCTCTGTTAGAATAAGAGAAAATAATAGTCACTAATGTATGGTTATAAAAACTTAAACACAGCAGCTTGACAAAACAGTGGGAAAAGGCCATGCAGACCTACTCCTCCATGAGCTTTGAAAGGGTTGAGAAATGGAAATACCAATCTGATGCTTGGGCCTATCATCTAGGAACAGCCCAAACCAAGTACACTGCTTGGCAATGAGCTGAACTCCGTGTCCTCATTTCACTGAGAAAGACTACAGCCCAAGGTCAGTGGCTGCTCAAATCAAGAGCTCATGGGCAAAAGAGCTCCAAATGAACACGCAGACTGTCCCTGACAAGGCCAACATGTTTCTCAGCCTCACCCCATCTAGGTAGGACCAGCCTTATAGCCCAGACTGTATCCAGAGCCACTTTTAAAGCTCTTTATAGACAATGAGGAATAAGAAAGGGGAGGATTCAAAGTAAGAACCAGAATCACTAGGTCTTGGTGCCTGATTAGTTATTATCACAGCTAACTTCTACTAAGTATTTATTCTATCAGACACTGTTCTAAGCACCTGCCAACGAATGATCAGGCCGGCAGAAAGCCTCCTTACCAGATACTTTCACTTTCCCTTTGTGGTGTCCAGATTCAGAGCCATGGAGCTGTGGGCTCATATGGGCCCCAGGCTTGTGTGAGGACCCACACCTGGTGACAGCAAATGCCTTGGGTGGAGAAGGTTCCTGGGAGGTATCACTGATTTCCTCATTGCAGGGGCATTCTGGAAAAACAAGATCAGGAAAGAATGATCAATCCTAAACATCACCAGGGCATTCCAGAATCAATCTCATTCAACAACCATGCCTACTTTTTTTTTTTTTTTTTCAAGAGAGATTTTTTGCTATAGGGTATGTGTACTCATCAGAGAGACAGAGAGAGATAGAGACAGAAAAAGAGAAATCACCTGCCGGTGTGGGGAGAGAAGGGGGGCCATGCCACAATCCCTCTCCTCCATTCTCATTCTCCTCTTGGGATTTTTTTTTTTTTTTGAGAGGTTTTCAGTATAGGGCGCGTGCGCTCGCCAGACAGACAAGAGAGAGACAGACAGACAGAAAAAAATCACAACAAATAAATACATAAATAAATAGTCTGTTAAATTTTTTTCTTTTAAAAATAGGACCAACAGATGGCATTAGTGGTTACATTGATGGACTCCCCCACATAGACAAACACGATTTGAGTCTCAAACCTGGCAGCTTAAATCTCACAGCAGTCGGGGCCAGTAGCTGGCATGGTCGTTAAGGGTGCTGGACTCCCACATGGCTGACCGTGGTTCGAATCCCAGACCTGGTGGCTTGCTTGCTCTCTCTCTCATTCTCACTCTGTCCCTCTTTGGTCAAAATAAAATAAAATAAATAAATAATAAAGTTAAATAAAATAATTCTTAAAAAAAAAGGTAAAACTCACACTGGGAGCATGTGCGTGCGTATCCAAAATCCCAAGAGGAGAATGGAGGAGAAGGGACTATGGCATGACCATCCCCAACGGGGGTGGGGAAGTGAGGGGGGTGATTTCTCACTTTCTATCTCTCTGTCCCTGTCTCTGCAGCGAGTGCATGTACCCTATAACAAAAATCTCCCTCAAATAATTTGTTTTTACAAAGAATTAACAGCCAGAGGAGGGCCAGAGGCCAACAGGTCTAACCACTGATGGTCGCCTCAAGCAGGTAGGGAGGTCTTACTCCACAGGCACATCCCAGAGAGGGAGACAACATAACAAATGTTGAAAGAATACAGAACAAGAAATAGAGAGGCCTCCATTTCTTTAGGCCATAAAGAAAAGTTATTCAAAGAAAAGATATAGGTCTACAGGAAGATGAAACTGCTACTCCAAAGGTATGTGTTCCTGCTGTTCAACTCACCACCACAGGCAAGGCCCTTTCCCTTGTGAGTCCTAGCTGCCTGAAGACAAGCATGAGACATACGACTCAATGATTCCTCATGTCCTCTTACTCTACTAATTGGCAGCCTGGAATTCTGAGGACACTGAACCAAAAAGCACACTCAGCCTGTTGCTATTATTACTAAGTATCTGGGGCTTTTGATGTGAAACTTGCCACAGTTGCTGGCCTCAAAATTCTGCCCAGGAACCAGTCTGTTGTCTTCTAAACCTGTTTCCTATAAGCTCTACTTACCTGAATCATGAAGTCATTTTCCTCTTGGACCTCACAGATACAACGGACCACTTCAAAATCATAGCGTTCATCCCCGTCAAGTTCCTCGTCTGGGTTGGTGGTCACATCGACATCTTGACTATATTCCTCGTCACTCCAGAGAAAGCTCTCAGAAGAGGACTCACTCAAATTATCCTCCTCTGTTAGAATAAGAGAAAATAATAGTCACTAATGTATGGTTATAAAAACTTAAACACAGCAGCTTGACAAAACAGTGGGAAAAGGCCATGCAGACCTACTCCTCCATGAGCTTTGAAAGGGTTGAGAAATGGAAATACCAATCTGATGCTTGGGCCTATCATCTAGGAACAGCCCAAACCAAGTACACTGCTTGGCAATGAGCTGAACTCCGTGTCCTCATTTCACTGAGAAAGACTACAGCCCAAGGTCAGTGGCTGCTCAAATCAAGAGCTCATGGGCAAAAGAGCTCCAAATGAACACGCAGACTGTCCCTGACAAGGCCAACATGTTTCTCAGCCTCACCCCATCTAGGTAGGACCAGCCTTATAGCCCAGACTGTATCCAGAGCCACTTTTAAAGCTCTTTATAGACAATGAGGAATAAGAAAGGGGAGGATTCAAAGTAAGAACCAGAATCACTAGGTCTTGGTGCCTGATTAGTTATTATCACAGCTAACTTCTACTAAGTATTTATTCTATCAGACACTGTTCTAAGCACCTGCCAACGAATGATCAGGCCGGCAGAAAGCCTCCTTACCAGATACTTTCACTTTCCCTTTGTGGTGTCCAGATTCAGAGCCATGGAGCTGTGGGCTCATATGGGCCCCAGGCTTGTGTGAGGACCCACACCTGGTGACAGCAAATGCCTTGGGTGGAGAAGGTTCCTGGGAGGTATCACTGATTTCCTCATTGCAGGGGCATTCTGGAAAAACAAGATCAGGAAAGAATGATCAATCCTAAACATCACCAGGGCATTCCAGAATCAATCTCATTCAACAACCATGCCTACTTTTTTTTTTTTTTTTTCAAGAGAGATTTTTTGCTATAGGGTATGTGTACTCATCAGAGAGACAGAGAGAGATAGAGACAGAAAAAGAGAAATCACCTGCCGGTGTGGGGAGAGAAGGGGGGCCATGCCACAATCCCTCTCCTCCATTCTCATTCTCCTCTTGGGATTTTTTTTTTTTTTTGAGAGGTTTTCAGTATAGGGCGCGTGCGCTCGCCAGCCAGACAAGAGAGAGACAGACAGACAGAAAGCGAGAAATCACCCCCCAGGGGGGATGGTCACGCCACAATCCCTTCTCCTCCGTTCTCTCGGGATTTGGGGCACGCACGCACACGCGCCCGGCGTGAGTTTTAAGCGACCGGGTCCGGGCCGCGAACCGCAGTCGACTACGTGGGAGTCCAGCAACAGCCATTATGCTAACTGCTGGTCCCTCTCCTCTTGGGATTTTGAACATGCACGCACACACACCTGGCATGAGTTTTAAGTCACTGCGTCCGGGACTCATATCACTGTCAACTATGAGAGAGTCCAGCAATATAAGCATTATGCCATCTGCTGGTCGCAAACACCTATTTCTCAAATAGCTGAAAGGTTCAGGCATGGCTCAGAGGCAGACTAAGGTTAATAACTTCCAGCTACCTCTGAGGATCTCAAACCCAAATGCTTCCTTCTCGTTATCACCTCTCACTCCCTTTTCTAATAACAGTGTTTTTCTAAGCCAAAAATCACATCTAGAATTAAAGTATGGCATCTCTGTAACTCCCAAGGTTAAACATAGATTTTCTTAAACATTTTGGTGGGGACTAGACATATACTTTCCAAGAAGTGAATCTTTTCTTGAGAGGTTTCAGAGACATCATGAGTTTAAGAGTTATGTGTGTGTGGCACCAGCAGTAGCACAGTGGTTAAGGCGCTGGACTCCCACATGGCCGACTGTGGTTTGAGTCCTGGACATGGAGGCTCGCTTTCTCACTTTCTCTCTCTCTGGTGAGTGCATGTGTCCTATAGGAAGTTAAATAAAATTAAATAACTAAGTCTAAAAAAAGAGTTATGTGTGCAAATACAGTCACTCATCTGCACAACCTCTTTTACTATGATGCATGCACATCACCAGTTACAGGGACACTGCCAATTCAGCAAGTGGGAGAGCTTTTACAATGCTGATGAGGCCTTGTAAGCCTGGGTGAGTAAGCATCCCCCTGCCAGGGCCCATGTGAGGCTGAGCCCACAGCCTGGCAAAAGCCTGCTGTTCCTCCCCTCCTCAGTGCAAGCTGAGCCACTCAGGAGGAAGCAATCCCTCTCCGCCATAGTAAGGAAACCAACTGAAACCCACAAGCAGAACTTACCAGGTTTGGTTTTCTTTTTCTTTTTCTTTTTCTTCTTTGGCTTCACTCTCACAAACTCTTTGAATTTCTTCTCTTTATTCTTTTCCTTTTCTTTTGTAGCTAGAAGTAAATACAAGTTTAAGTGTCAGTGTCTTAATGCTTTGTTTTCAATGCTGGGATTTTTTTTTTAATTAAGCATGTCCAAAGGGAAGAACTAGAACAGGCAGTAGAGCCAAGTTCTTGGCCTGACTCTGACTCTGCCCCTCCAAGGGGCCTGAGACACGCTACCCCAGGCAGAGCCACTCCCCCTTCACTGAACCTTAGAAGCCCGTGTTCTCTGAACACAAAGGTTAGAGAAGAAGCCTTCAGAAGTTCACTCTGACTTCTGGCCAAAAGTTGTAAAGTCATCTGTGGTCTCAGGTGGCAGAGCTCACAGGCCCCAGAGCAGAGAGCAGGGACTTGGCTAGCCTGGGTGAGTTCCTGAGGACCAGGGGTATAAGAGGTGACAACAGGCTGCCATGTGCACAGGAATCTCCTGCCAGGAGGAATGCCTACTCAGCTTCCAGGGGATGGGCCAGGGCACCCTTTCCTGGAATCCTAGAAGACAGCAGAGCCTAGAGGTGAGAATAAGGGTCTGCAATTAAATATTGGCTCAAATTAATACTTCTCATCTGCACCTCAGTTTCTAATGTATAACGAAGACATAAAAGCACCCGCCTCATAGGGTTTTAGGGCTAAAAACAATACAAGTAAAGAACATGTTAAAGTATCTAGCACATGGCACACACTCAAATGTTGGCCCTTATCATCTGGCCTGCAATACTCTCTCCCCAGAAAGCAGTGCTGGCCTGCTGTTAGCTCTCTCTTTGGACAGCTCGACCAATTGTTCCATGACCCATGGAACATGTACCTGGCTTCTTCTCAGCTGCCCTGATTGGGTTGGACAAAGAGCAACTTCCTGCTAGGCTTTGGATCAGAGAGCAGCTTGCTGCCTAAGCATCTGAGTGATGGATACAGAAGGCCAGTTACCTTGGAGGGGCACCTTAAAGACCTGATACTATGAACCTTTGCTATGCCAGTGCCTTTCCTCTTTTCCTATAGCTGATCCAACTTATATCTACCTTCATCCTTTAAAGCCTGGATAGACCGTTAAGGCTGCTACAGACTGGGTGGTTAAAATAACATTTATATTTCTCATAGTTCTGGAGGCTGGGAAATACGAGATCAGGGTGCTATCAGAGGCATGGCAACCCTGGGCCTGCCAACATCATTTCATCATATCCATCTTCCCTGTTACATCTCCTATCAGCCCTGGTAAGGACCTTCTTCCCAGCTTCTCATCATTTAATCACATCCACCTTCTTGCTGCATTCTCACATAGGGGTAAGGGTGGAGGAAGACTTCCTGATTTTAAGGGCATTAATCCCATTACATAGCCCTATCCTCCTAATTTCATCTAAACCTAATTCTCTCTCTGAATACTACCACATTGGGAGTTAAGACCTCAACATGTGTTGGGACCAGCAGATGGCATGATGGTTACATTGCTGGACTCCCCCATGGTCAACCACAGTTTGAGTCCTGGACCTGGTGACTTCAAACTCACGTCAGGTGCGTGTGTGTGTGCATGCATGACCAAAATCCCAAGAGGAGAATGGAGAAAAAGGAACTGTGGAGTGATCATGAGGCGGGGTGGGGAGAAAGAAATTTCTTGCTTTCTGCTTGTGTCTCTCTCTTTGGAGAACACACACCCACCCTATAGCAAAAACCTCTCTTCAACATGTGAATTAGGGGAGGGGGTCTTACAATCCAATGTACAATAAGACCTCACTTGAATGTTACCTTTACTCAACTGCAATGGCCCAGAAATTGAGGGAACCCAAAACAAAAAAATCTGCAGGGCATTTTCTGATCCTGATGGTTCTATTGGAAGCCCAGAGAAATCCATTAGAACTCAAGTTCTTATTTGCCATAATTGGGGAGTTCAGCATTAACGGGGTACTTTTTTTAAGTTTATTAAATTTTATTCACTGTCATTATTTTATTTTATTTTATTAAAGTTGAACAGAGAGAGACAGAGAAGGAAAGTAAGAAAGCAAGCTGTCAGGTCCAGGATTCGAACCGTGGTCAGTCATGTGAGAGTCTAGCCACCTTAAACACCATGCCACCTGCTGGCCCCGTACTTTTTTTTTTTTTTTTAAAGGTTTTTGCCACAGGGTGTGTATGCTCGCAGGAGAAAGACAGTGAGAGGGAAAGTGAGAAATCACCCCTCCCGGGGTGTGGCCACATGGCAATTCCTTTTCCTCCTGGGATTCTGGGAACATGTGTCTGGCATGATTTTCAAGCTGCCAGGTCCAGGACTCAAACTGCAGTTGGCCATGTGGAAGTCCAGTGCCTTAACAACCGTACCACCTGCTGGTCCCAATGGGGTACTTTTTAGAGTCACTACCTTGCAAGCAGCACAAATCCCATAATATTCTATCTGGCTTTCACTTAAGCAGAATGTCAAATACACACTACCTATGAACTAGAAAACAATCTGTGTAATATCAGAGTCTCACCCTGAAACATCTCTCCAAGTGAACTACCTACATTGTCTGAAGTTCCACCTAAGATAAAGGCTTTCTTAGAAGTACTAGGTGAAATCCAGGTACTGTTAAGCTGCTTCTATTCTTTTAAATCTTAATAAATTTGGTTATCAGACAAGCCAAGTAACTAGCAACTGGCAGGAAGGAAGCTTACATGAGAGAAAGGTGAGGGGAGAAACCTGGAACAGGAGTACCTTCTGGAGCACTGAAGCAGAACAAGGCAGCCGTACTGTGGAATCTTCTGAATATTCTGCTATGTTCACTGTCAGGGATTGCAAGCCATGTGATGAAGGCTAAACAAGTCTATTGAGCCCAGTTCACAAATGATTATACCAAGCCATTAAAGTACTAAAATTAACCAGGACTCCCAAAGGCAGACAGCAGGTCTGCATGGGGGTAAGGTTGGGGAAACATCCGACCCATATTCAGGGGGCATTACAATGGGCAAGGTCCCTTCTCAGACAATTATTGTAAGCAGGGACAGGTAAGAAATCTACATCCTAACATAGAGGGCACACATCATCATCGTCAGGCAAGCAGGACTTTCGTAGGTCCTTGTATGGCTCCTGCCGGTTAAGCCTCATCCTCTGGAAAACCTCGTACTGGTGAATCTATTATCTGGCATAGGCTGCACCCACTTTCAATGCTGCACTCTGGTTCTGTCCAGATGTAACTGTGTTTCTCCATCTGCACTTGCTATTTCTACTGGCACCCCAAACCTCTATTACCTCCACCTACTCAACACAATCCACTCCTTAAGTGCTTTGTTCACAGTTCTGCAGAGCCCATGGGATACTGCAGTGAGTCAGCCTAATCCCTCCCCAACAGAACGCAGAATCCAGCTAGAGAGCTCACACAAATGCCCCAACGTGGCAGGATGAGACAGATGACATTTGGATCAAGGGAAAAACAGGCACTCATTTCCTATACCAGGCCGTACAGCAGCTCATTCAATAGATTGGTTCACAGACTCATCACAAAAACTCAGCAAGTTTATATTCAGAAAGGCACAGAGAGATCAGGGAACCTGCAGAAAGTCCAAAAATGGCTAAGGGGATGGGATAAGATTCAAAACCCACATGCCCATCCCTAAAACTTATGCTCTGCAGAAGCATCAGTCCATACTTAAATTATTTTTTAGCAGATGTGTGACATAATCAAGTTGTACTTTCAAAGATCCCATCTGTTGAGAAAACGATGAATAGTTTAAACTACTTTTAAACTGTGGGAGTTTACTTTTTACCCACAGTGGGTAAAAAGTGGAGAGAGAAAAAGTAGTTTAAATGTTATTATAACAATCAAGGTAAAAGAGGAAAACCTGGATGAGTGTTGTAGGACTTAAAAGAGGACAATAAATTTGGGATAAGTCAATTCTCAGCAAACAAACAAAAGTTCAAAGCCTCTCAATTATCATCATTATTTCCAGTGAAAAGCCCAATCTTTTATGACCTTTCTTTGTAGGTTATTCTCTTACATTCTTACCGTATTTATACTGCAACCACCCTCAAAGGTAACCGCTGTCCTACCTCAGATACTACTTTTTTATTAGGTTTTTTTTTTAACTTTATATAAACAGAGCCATATAATCGGTCTGAGTTTATGCTAGCAGAGGCAGGAATGGGAGTTAGGTATTATTCCTGCTTCTTCCAAGGGCCACGGCTCGACGGTATGACTCCTGAGGAGCATTTATCATTTTGAAAACTGTGGGAGTCGACCGGACCAGCCCAATCCTATGCCTGAGTTCTGTGTCAGAAACAAAAGCACAGTGACCTGAGCAGCATAGCACTCCATAACACAACACGGAGCCAAAGTACTTACTCGGAGAACTGGCAGAGACCCGCTTCCTCGTCAGGCTCTCCTGGCCAGCCTTGTCTGAAACTGAAGAGCCTCTTGTCTGGACATGCCTCTTTCCTGGGCTCTCCTCTGGCTCTGGTGACTTCTCCATTCCATGGAAATACTTCATGTGATAATGCAACAGTTTGGCTTTGCGAAAAAATTTTAAACAATCCACAACCTTGCATCTAAACTTGTGGTCTAGGTCGACAGCTGGTCCATTAGATGACACAAAATCATCTGTTTTCTTAAAATTATTTGTTACTGAAAAAAACAAAAGCAAAGATGCCTCATGCTTACCCTCATCATTAGAAAACACACATTAGCACATACAACAGACAGTGAAAGGGTAGCATGTATAAAGTGGCCTGAGATATCAATCAGACTGTCGCTGCCTCAAAATTACTGTATGGAAAGAATGATTACAACTTCAGATAAAAGAATAGATTCAACTGAGAGTCATCTTTAAAAAGAAAAGCTTAACCTGCTTATTTCAAGTATCCACACAAGTTCTCAAGGCTTCAGACTTTGGGGAAAGAACATGGGAAAATCGTAAAGCATGTCCAGGATCTCAAATCAGTAATTGTTGCTCATGGGTTGGACCAGATTCACAATCACCACCATACCTATCTGTGTAGACAGAATTATGGAACCTTTGTCAGGATCTCCTTATGAAGCCTAGAGGATTTTATAACAGTTCTTACACAAGAAGAGTCTAATGTTAGTTTCACAGGTTTCAGTATTGAGCCGTTGAGACTGGTTTTACCAAGTGCTTTGTTTGATCAAAAGGATCCAGAGCTGCAATAAAGAAACAAAATCTGATCCAGCCACAGCATAGCAGATGGTGGGGGCACTGCTGCTGGATGCTAGAAGCTACACTGGGTGGCTCTAGGTTCCTGCTGCTACAGCTATCTGGACACACCAAACACATGCAATTCTGGCCAGCTACAGGGTTGTGGGGGGAGATCATGACATGAAAGCCCTGTCAGGGGTATCCCTTTCCCTCTTCCTGGGTAATAAAAACTTAAAAATAAATAAATAAATAAAAACTTCACACCTCTCGGTCTCTCACTCTGTCCCTCTCCGGTCAAATTAAAAATCAATCAATAAATAAAGTTAAATAAAGTAATTCTTTTAAAAAAAATAGTAGGATAGGACAACCAACAACTGAATAGTGTTGTAAGACATGGGGAGGACTCAAAGATCAAATTCAGAGATAATAAAGGTTTGACCCTCTGCAGCCAGCAGGTAGTATGGTGGTTAAGGTGCTGGACTCCCACATGGCTGACTGCAATTCAAGTTCTGTACATGGAAGCTTGCTTTCTCACTTTCCATCTCTCTCTCTGTCTCTCTCTGGCCAACTCAAAGAAAATAAAACAGTGACAATTAGTAAAATTAAAATTTTAAAATAATAATAATTAGGAATTTCAACCAACTCCACGAAGAATTACCACTCTCTCTGGTCAAACACTTTGCACCCTATCTATGTAAGGCAAATACAACACAGTGGCTCAAAGTGTAGGTCTGCAGCTAGACAACCTGTTTCAAACCCTGGCTCCTCCACTTACTCTCTTTGACTCAGTTTTCTCATGTGCAGAGGAGAGATAGTAATACTAACTACTTCACTGAATGTAGCCATATGGCCTACTGCTTTAGGGAGCCATATCCCACATGGCCACCCTGATTTGAATCCCAGCTACAGAGGTCTGAAAAACACACCGGGAGGCCAACAGGTAGTGTGGTGGTTATGGGGGCTGGATTCCCACAAGGTCGACCACAGTTCAAGTCTCAGACCTGGAGGCTTGCTTTCTCACTTTCTTTCTCTTCTTGCATGCACATGCTCTGTCCATCTCTGGTCAAATTAAAAAAAATAATGGGGATGGCAGGTGTGGTGATTAAAGGTGCTGGATTCCCACATGGCAGACCACGGTTTGAGTCCCAAACCTGGCAGCTTGCTTTCTCATTTTCTCTCTGTCCCTCAAGTTGAAATAAACAAATAAATAAATAAAGTTAAATAAAATAATTTTTAAAAGTAAAATAAATAAATAAAGTTAAATAAAACAACTCTTTAAAAAAAGAGAAAAAACACCCACACTTGGTCCAAAAGCTAGACAGGATTGAGAAACAGAGGAAAAGGGATTGTGCTTTCTCCCTCTCTGTTTTTCTGATACTTGGGTGCACATAACCTTAAACAAATTAAAAAAAAAAAAAAAAAAGATAGAGAGAGAATTACAGGGGCCAGCAGATGGTATAATTGTTACATCACTTTTTTACTTGTAGTTGAACACGATTTGAGTTCTGAGCCTGGCGACTTAAAACTCACACTGGGCACATGTGCATGGATGCCCAAAACCCTGAGAGGAGAGTGTAGGAGAAGGAATCATAGGTTGACCATCCACCCTGAGGGGTGATTTTTCACTTTCTGTCTATCTCTCTGGCAAGCCATCACCCCCAATAGCAAAAATCTCTCTAAATAAATAAATAAATAAGAATTACACGTAAAGAGTCTAGAAAAGTGTCTGATACATAGTTAAGTACACAATAAATACTGGCTATAAGTATTCAGTATCATTTTGGATTTATGAACAGCCTTTGGGGAATTAACCCTACTCATAAGCAAAAGAGTAAAAGTCCTCACCCCCCCCCATAGCTTCACTGAGATGTTCATGCCAGCGTCAACAGCATAGTGGAAATAGCTCAATTTTAAATCTCACTCTCCCCTTCATTAGCACCATAAATTAAGCTGTGCAGACAAGGCTGCTTATTTTACTTCTTACAAAGAGATAATATCTGTACATGGCACAATGCAGGTGATCAACAGCATTATCATCTCAAATGTAAAACACACTCTGATATATTGCATACATGTTGTTTCTGGAACATAGCTATTGTGACTTCCATACAAGTGTGAAGCATTTCTTCTACCAGCCCTCAAGTTCTCTGGCAAGGAAACACATCAACCTGTGAGCACTCAGTTTTGTCTATATCTATCTATTGTACAACTGTGAAATCAAAAACCAACCACAAGATTCCTAATATGGCAATTCACCATTCAGTAAGATCATTACCCTATCTTCTGGGATATCTTTTAATAAAGCAGTCAAAATTTCAAAATTTTATTCACATGGTGCATGAAAAGCACGTCTGGGGAACCAGCAGTTAGCGTAATGGCTATGTCGCTGGACTCCCACGTAGTCGACCGCGGTTCGCGTCTCAGACCTGGTGGCTTAAATCTCACGCTGGGCGTGTGTGCGTGCATGCCCAAGATCCCGAGAGGAGAATGGAGGAGAAGGGATTGCGGCGTGACCATCCCCCCTGGGGGGTGATTTCTCGCTTTCTGTCTCTATGTCTCTGTCTGTCTGGCGAGCGCACGCGCCCTATAGCGAAAACCTCTCAAAATAAAAAAAAAAAAGCACGTCTGACACATGCACGATCATGCCTAAAGTCTCAACAAGATGGAGAAATGGAGAAGAGATTGTAGCATGAATGCATCTCGTTGGAGGTAGTTTCTCCCTTACTCTTTATTTTTAATTTTTAAATATTTTTTTAATTAAAAAAAAAAACTTAAAAAAAAAAAGTGCTTTTTAGGGGACCAGCAGATGGCATAATGGTTATGTCACTGGACTCCCATACAGTCAACTACAGTTCAAGTCCCAGACCTGGTGGCTTAAAACTCATGCCAGACATGGGACCAGCAGTTAGTGTAATGGCTATGTCACTGGACTCCCATGTAATCGACCGCGGTTCGCGTCCTGGACCTTGTGGCTTAAAACTCACGCTAGGCGCACGTGTGTGCATGCCCAAGATCCCAAGAGGAGAATGGAGAAGGGATTGCAGCGTAGCCATCCCCCCTGGGGGGTGATTTCTCGCTTTCTGTCTCTCTGTCTGGCAAGCACACGCGCCCTATAGCAAAAAAAACTCTTAAAAAAAAAAAAAAAAAAAGCTCATGCCAGGCACATGTGTGTGCATGCCCAAAATCCAAAGAAAAGAATGAAGGTGAAGGGATTGTGGTGTGGCCATCCCCCTGGGGGGTGATTTCTTGCTTTTTGCCTTTCTGTCTCTCTTTGTCTGATGAGCACACGCACCCTCTATAGAAAAAATCTCTTCCTAGAACAATTTTTTTAATAATTTATTATTATTATTTGACCAGAGAGAGACAGAGGAAGTAAGACAGCAAGCCAATCAGATCTGGAACTTGAACCATGGTAAGCCATGTAGGAGGAGTCCATGGTAGCCTTAACCACCATGCTACCTGCTGCTTATTTTACTTCCCTTTCCCTCTCTTTCTCTCTCTCTCCCTCTGTGAGCACACATACCATCTAGCAAATTAATAGACAAATAATAGTACATAAAATTGTTTTCTAGAACTGTAAAAATGCAAACAATTGTAACCTTTTGGTTATAGACTTCAAATCTTTGAAAAAAAAAATCAGTATTTTTCTAATGGCCCATGATTTCTAACATTCATATTGTTTCTACAATATGTATTTCTCATATACTTTTACATTGCACTCCTCTCCAGAACAGTGTTCCTCTGGAAAAAAAAAAGAAAAAAAAAACCCACGATGATGGAAGCATGGTCAAGGAATGAAGTGGCCACTGGATGCCAAAAGGGCCTCCTGGGTCACAGTCTCCATAAGCCCCAAGACTCACACACACATGTGTTCCCCAACAGGAGGACAGTTTGTTTGGTGCATATGTCACAGATGGCATTAACTAAGTGACACCATCCACTCTTGGGATAACACAGCCTTATCAACATGGGAGTAGTTACTAGGAGACAGAGGGCAGAGAATATGTGAATTAAATCCTTAAGGGAGCCTGGTCCACAGGTGTGAGATAATCAAATTACTCCTGCTGTAGTGAATAAACTACTGTAACCAATTTGTTTTTGTTTTAGAAAGCATTATGAAAATCATTATTTCCAAGTAGTTACTGATATTAACATTTAACTATTCTGTGCTCTTCTCTGTTTGGCAGAAACAAGACAAAGCACAGAGCTCTCTTCTGGGCATCCATGCTTAAAATTCTAAGAGTCACCCTTTTCTCTCAACAGTCCTGAAGTACTACTATGCAAAATAGTCTATAGATTTTGCTTTTACTGATAGTAATTCTAAGGAATGTTTTCTTTACTTTTTTGCTTTCTTCTCCTTTGGGGGTAGGGGGTGGATGTTAAGATGTCTCCTAATAATCGGAGCTTCTGATACACACCCATACATAATCTCCCCCTCTTGAGTGTAGGTAGCATCTGTAATTTGTCTCTA